TCATGCATCCACTCATTATTTTTCTAACACCACTCTATATGTATTCCCCATCTTCCGCTTGAATTTGCTTCGACATTCCAATCTTCATTTTGCTCTTTTATCCAAATGGGCAACCAAAAGACAGCAACCAAAACCGGTGCACGAAAGTGCATGGTTAATGGTTGTAAAAACTGAAACTGAATGCTTCAGGAGAGCTGGCTGCACAATGAAATTTATGATAACGTTGTCAAAATCGACAATTTTTCCATCTGCCGATTTGACCGACCCGTTCCGGTTCACAAACGCGGAGGTGGTGTTATCACATACATAAATGACGATTGGTGCAAATCAGGCAAACGAGTTTTTATGTATTCTACTATTTTTGTCAGTACTTCACTGTACAAATGCAGACCTTAACATCTCAGTAATTACCGAAACATTATTTTAGTAACATTTACATTTCTCTGGGAAATTAGCTTGTCTTAGCCACGACGAATGAAAAACCAAAACGCAAGGCGTTAATCATCAACGTCTTGTGTTTTGGTTTTTCCATTTGTCGTAGCTAAGACAAGCTAATTTCATCAATAATCATCAGCACGACGCCCAAGTTTTTCAGTGAGATCCGTTATATGCATGTATCTCGTGTAATTCACATTTCTCCTTCTTGTTCCACTGATCATTTTAATGAGTTTACAGATATTTTCTCCACCGCTTTGCTAAATTACGTAGACTCCTCTCTTTGTATCGTGTGTGGGGAATTCAATAGGTTTGATATCACGTTTTTGACTACCCTTGGACTACAGAAGGTTGCAAACTTTCCTACCTGACTCGAGGCTTGCCTTGATATGTGTGCTACTTGCGCAGCCGTTCCCCTATTGGCACCTTTGATCATGCAGCACTGAAACTATCTCCCGCTATATACGGTAGATCCAATCATCAGTTATACATTCGACATCCTGATCGTCGTCTTCGTCGGCGTCAATATCAACCCGAAAATCTTGCCAGAATAAGAGATACATTAGATCAGACAGATTTATCTTTATTTATACATAATGGTTCCTCCATATTTTGTGATACCCTGACTGAATATGTAAAGTTCTGTTATGATACGTGCTGCCCGTGCGAAACTTTATACGTACGGTCAGACCGTTTTTCGTCCCCTACACTTAAACGATTACATCGGAAAAAAAGAACAAGCTTTCAAAGCAAAAAAGTACTCTTTGTTGAGAGACCATTAGAAAGAAATCAAGGCGGAACTTCGGAGATTAAACGCTGCTTATGCACATCCAATGCTGGTAAAGAGGAATTGTCACGATACATGAAAAATGTTGTTGCAGTTCTGCAGTCTCAAAACGAAGGAGAATCTTCCAGCTGCCAATGCGGACGGTCTCAGTCGTCAATTCAGCAATGCTAAACTAACATCCCTATTCCATTCACAGCAGTCGTCCCTGCTCCTAATGTTGTCAATTTAATAACTGATTAACCAGAAGTATTCAAAACTTTCATCAATCTGAAGTCTAACAAACCATGCGGTCCTGATGAACTGCCACCTGTTGTGCTCAAAGAATGTGCAGTTTACCTTTCCCATGTTTTCACCGACCTACTCAACCTGTGTTTTACTCACCATTGCATTCCGGACTGATGGCGAGTGGCTTCTATTACGCCAGTACCCAAAAAAGGACAGTCCAAATTTCGACCGATTGCTTGCACTTCTGTTGGTTGAACGTTTTTGAAAAGATTTTGTCACTAAGCAACTGACCGGACCGTTTTTCATTTTCCTTATGCACGATATAGCACAAAACATCTTTGCGAGCTTGATGCAGGCATCACACCGTGCGCTTCTCAGCACTAACCTTCAGGGTTATTGCATGGGTTGTAAATATACCAAATAACCCGCTAATCTTATGCAAAGTATAATCCCATTTCCGACAATTCCCTCGCAAGTTGTAACAGGCAACTCTAACTAATCCTTTAAAAGGCAATATGATGGGCGTACTTACGCGTCTGGATCACCGACGTTTACGAAAAAACCGTTTCACCGCGGTTTGTGGAACGACAGATATCCAAAATTAAATGTTGATATAATGTATGCTAGTTTTGCTTCAAGCTTTCGGCTGTGGAAACATATGATACAGAGCTTTACGTGTCTATGGTCGCGAGACCGTCACTCTTCTAACTCGCGCTATGAAGAGGAGGTGTTCATTCACTCATTCACCGAATGTAGTTGTCTTAGGTTCCCGCAGCCACCAATCAGTGAGTAAAATCTAATCAAGAACAGCCGCTTCAAATAAAAAATATTTTCAATACATAGGTCTGGTATATGGTATCATTTACATAAACATATGTGATGTGAACTATTCATCATTCGCCTCACGTGCCGGTCGACACTGGGTTTATTGTTCAAAATTAGCGTTTATTGAGAAGGCATAAACATTCCTGACTAAAACATAATAACTAAAATAGGAGATATTTAAAAAATGGTGACAAACGTTTGAGATCACTGGAAAATCCCACGACATTATGAACTGCCTTTTACCAACCCTTGTTAAATCAGTGTGCCGGCTGCCTCGTCCGTTCATCTGGCTTGAGACAACACATTTGGTCGTCTTTGATAAATGACTCATCAATTCAGCACAAAACAATATAAGTACACACAAACAATCCGATTCCACACATTTTTTACAATAAAGTTCTCACATCTTTCACATTCCTAAACACTGGAGAAATCAAGCAGATCCTTGGAAACTTCGTTTCGAAAGTGCAACTTGAAATAGCTTGATTCATATCAAGTTTAAGCATAGCGCCGCTTTGTTTAGTTGGAATTATATTATTAGACAACACTTGCCGCCTAGCGGACGATTCAGGTAGTTGACATGGATCAAGGAACAAGCTTGTGCAATCTCAAAAACGGTAAGGGACATCGCACAACACAGAGAGGAGTAACACCCAAACTCTTTCGGGTTGACACTTACAATCCATGACTTTTTTCGACTCCAGCTAACCGCTGTGATCCACGCCTCGGTTTGTACACGATTTGTCCACGTGACCAAAATCACATCTTCGTCATACCATCTTGTGAACACCAACAGACCGTCCCTGTTGAAAACACGGGAAAACAAATAATTGGTGATAGTTAGTGCAAGATGAGATACGCGAGTCAATCACAGTGATTTGAAAATGCGTTCGGTGTGGATACCCTGGATAATTCACATAATGCTGCGTTTTCTAGTTTTATAAATGAAGATGCAGTAAACAATGTCAAAGTACAAGCAACAGATGGACAATACATGCATGTCGAACGATGGTGACAGCGCTAATCTTTACATTTAGAAACAAGATGTTTTAGGCAAAAATGCTAGCAGTGTTGGCAGTGCTCGTGTTGTAGCACAGAGCGCACTATTTTCTACGTCACACACTTTGAGATTAGGGTAACGAAATGTATTTCGTATCTGAGATACGATAAAAAACTACCATTTGAAATGTCGTTTATTTTAACCGTTGATTCAGCAACAGAAAAACGCATTTCATAGTTGTTTGATAAAGATTCTGTTCCGTGTTCGTGGGTGCCTTAAAAACTGACTGTTACATACATCAACAGTTTGCTACACTAATGTTATCATACCTTCTTAAGGGGTCAGCTTCAAACAAATTATTTAACTTTTTGGACAACATAAATGATCATAGTTACGTCATTGGTTGTTGCAACCTCACACAACTTCTCAACTGGAGCGCTGCAAATCACTGAATTATGATCATAACTTGACTAAAATGATAAAACTATTGGATGTATTTTTATTTAAACAAACGAAAAACAACAAAAAATCTATTATTTCGATCTTATTATCCATTTTTAAATACAATGATCAAATTTCTTTTCAAGTCACATATTTCACTTTGATTTTTATTATTCTGACGATAATGAACCAATCAATTTGCTTCTGGTTATTTGCAAATCAATGAGCAAATGAGAAACAATAACTCACCAGGGTATTTTTTCGGGCCGCGGAAATTCACGTCGCTCGCCGCTTTCAAGATCGTAGATAAAAAATCCAATCTGTGGGTTTGTGTAATCCGAAAAATCTCCGGCCTGAGGGACACAGGAAGCAACAAATAGGTCTGTGAACGAACAATTGCCGTTCAAAGCTCGTATTTCCTAGCAGATCAGCGTCTTTCAAAGAAACTTTGTGACTGTGTTTGCTCAAGTAGTTTTACTCGTTAGTTTTAACCTTAGCCTAGCAATAAGATTAAAAATTAATGGCTCAAAAATTTGTAAATAAAAGAATATGCGGAACCGAATACATACGTGAACATATTGGATGAACCAGCCCGTATAATAGCACTGAAGATAGAATAAGAAAGCTTGACAATCATGGTCAACCCGAACTAACAAATGGAATGTGTTTAGAAGTATAACCATGGTGTTTTAACTATGAAAGGTTAACTAAATGAAAAGATACTTATTCTAGAAAACCAAAATTACTAGTCTATTTTGGATAAAGTGCAACCAAGAGTTAAATCGTCTTTACTTCATAGTTGTCTAATCCACTACACCATCATCATCGGTTCATATACTACTCGAGTTGTCGATCAGACCAAATATGAAACGATTGTCAGTCCTTCGTTGTAGTATTCACATGATTTGGACTCGCGTTATGCATCCTTACTGAAAAACAAGCAAAAAGTCAACTTGTGAAAGGTACGAGATCATTGAGACAATCAGACAAATATATAGAAGCCAGAATTAGTCGGTTTTGATGGACCAAGAACAGGGTGTTTGGAATAGTTGATTCAAACCCATGATATTACACACCGAAAATAGTACATTCTAGCTGATCTGATATAGGTTCATGATCCATATGCGAATTAAAGTCAAGAAGTTACATACATAAACAAGGCATACATTTCCTACTGGTGTTTCTAAACCATTTATTTGAACACGGAAGCTACCTGATGAAACTCGCATTATAAGGCGGGGTAATTAGTTTCATGATTTGAGCTCATGGGAAGTCAGTTGTTTGCACATATTTTACTACAAATCCGGTCGTTCGCCCCAAAAGAACCCAGATTCCGAAGCCCGTGGTGAAATCATTATTCCATCTGCACGCCAAATAGCACGTAATCCATGAATTTCAATGTGGGTGTGGGACTATCTGTGAGCAGAACAAAGACCGCTGCGGACCCCAGCCGTCAAACACGTACCCGCTGTTATGTCGTCAAATTGTTATGTTTTGCGCCGCGTATATCCGTTGCTACTATTAGGTGATACAGCACTCTATCCCAGGTGAATACCAAAAGTGCAAAGAACACAAGATACACAGTAATAATATTAGCACACGGGAACAGCGGACTCCCACTAAGTCCCCTGGGCGGATGATAGTTCTAGCAGCAGAAGCTATCCAGGCGAAACACAGTACGCACGGTCGGTTATCGATCTCTCAGGCCTCCCAAACACGAGAGAAGACAGGGCTTCAGCAGCATGGGATTTTATTGGCGTTGAGCACAAGTCAAAAATTACGAGTCAATTTACAAGTTTTACTCTGCTGCTTATATGTGACTGAAAATAACATTAACCAATGCAAGATAACGAATGTAACAATGAAGTACACAGTGAGCAATGTTCAACCAACCATAGGCTATGAATTAGATGGATGAAGAGAGTGAATATTGCCGTACGACGTAATATTATTGATTTATGTCCACGAGATCAGTATTGATCCGCGACGACCCTAATTTGAGTCGAATGTGTTGTAAAGTTGTTTGATTTTGTTCACAGAATCAGAAAGTATGCAGCCGGGTTTATCGTGGAACGAATGGCATTGATCTTCATCCCAACACCCGAGAAGGTCGATTGTGAGTGGATGAGATTGAGGGCTATGCAAACAACCACTTCGCCAAGCCAGTCGCACAGAGCACCAGCGTCGTCAATTGCTGATGCAGACTAGTCACCAGTCACTAGTCACTAGTCTCGGAACTTCGCTCCGGGTTGTTTACACAACCCCTAATCGACGGCTGCTAAGATTTGCAGAGGTCATGGAAATCAAGCGCCGAACGCCCCTGCTGTGTCAACAGAAGAGGGTCTAAATCAGGTCGGCATTATCACGATGACCACATGAACGAAGAGTGAATTGATAATATGTTTGATTATCAACATAAGTTTTCGTTGTTTGCGGGAAGCACATAATGAAATGCATCAACATGTTTCTGAAATTTAATTGCGCTCCCTTGAAGCGTTCTGTTCTTTGTTCAAGATTGAAGCTTGCTTGAACTAGGAAGATAAATTTTGGTTGTTCTATGCTGCCACGTCGATAAAATCACCAGATATGTTCTAATAGAAACAAAGGTCTACCCCTGAAGGAATAGTTTTCATTAGAGTTCGGATTGTACTTTCGCGAAGACGAAGCTACCCTGGAAATCGAGGAAACACTGATAAGATACTTGCGGCATTGCTATCGGTATAGATCGCTATCAGGAGTAACAACTCATAATCTAATGCATATAGTTTGACTAATTTTTCTACAATGCATTCAGAAATCACTGCAACAGCAGAATAATCTTTCCTCAAGTGAAAGAACCGATAGTTCAAGGTTATTTTGGTTCCGGTGCTAAAAATACACACTCAAGGATTCAACACAGGAAAAGGGACAAGAGGGCAAAATGCAGCATTGGTCTCATCACCAAAATGAAAGTGACCTGTCAAAAATAATGTGAATATTTTCGGCAGCAACTGTATCGACACAGATAATAGATCTGCGTGTAAACGAAATAATGTACAACAACATACAAAAACCTGGCGTGTGTTTTCATCCTACTACTCGCCAACTGAACCCATATTAAACGGGATGGGAAACTTGACGTCCAAGATGAATGGCTGTAAATTAGGCTTAAGCAAACTAGCTCAACCTTTCCAAAGTGCCTAAAACAGTTATCATTGACAATGTCTATGAATTGAAGTATCTCAAAGAGGAAAAAGTGGTAGATGTCAGCGTTAATTCAGTCGTGTTTGTTTGAGATCTTGAAACATTGACTTGCTGAGAAATCATCCACGCGTTTTCACATAAACACCACCCCATATCAAAAAGGTACCGATTTCATAGCGCTACTGTTTGGTACTGCGCAGGGTACGACATTGTCACGGAATCAGATCATTGATATTCCTCAGTGGGTTAATGCCTGAGTCTATGTTCTAATAGATATACTGCCAACCTGAGTGTCGTATCAACACCCACCCCTAGGTATAAAACTTGGTACCAGTTCTAGCGGTACTTCACGAACAAGCACAAACACGAATGGCATTTGTGAGAACAGAGAACAAACTGCAGCATCAAAATCCGGAGCAACATGCTCCAGAGGAGTGTGGGGTGGTCGGATAGGATTCCGCCGGAAAGGCTGCATCAGTGAATTAACCCATTTCGCATTAGACTAAGGAACACGGACTAGACATTCTGATCAGATGTTAAAATAGCGAAAAGTCCAGTATCCCCGGTGGAATTCAAACGCACGCATGGATGCCGCCTACGATTTTGTGCAGCGCATGCCCAAGCAGTACCGATAGCACTAATCTTTTCACATTCGAATCACTCATCCATGCCGGTGTTTGAATCCCACCGAGGATACTGAATGTTTTACAAGTTCAACAGGGGAATTCAATCCACCAAGCAACAACTTGAACAATCCATTTCAGAGTTCATGATGAGTGGGAGGAGGCGCTCCGCTGTGCAGCAGTTTTGCATTTGGAATCTTGTTGTTTGCACAACCATGGATAACCTCCACCCTAAAAGTAATCTTCAGAAAATAAATGTCAGTCTGTGCCACCTAACACAAGCAACGATAGATTTCAGTATCTCAGATATTAGCCAAACAAAACAGATTGATTTGATGCTACCGTGTCATTCAAGCATTAAGCCTTCGTTACTCCATGTGCCATCGATGGATGTAGACAGTATGCCAGCTGAATAGAAATGGTACACAGTTATCACTGAATACATCAAAAATGACGGGAGAAATAAAATAGTGTAAATAGTATTTGGTGCACAATACAAAAGTTTTACGCCATATCTGCAGTTACAGACCAGTTATTCTTCAGCTGGATTATCCCTTTAACAATATGCCACTGAAGGAAGTAGGAAATTTCAATGTAGACTCTATTTACGAAGATTACCGTGGGCTGTTCACTACTAATCGGAAAAGCAAATTTCAAATGAAAGAACCCCTATGTTTTTCTGGCGGAGAGGTTTTACCAAATAAGATGGCTTTAGTTATCACGCGAGACTAAAAACGCACAAAGATTGCTGGAACCAAAAAAGCGTAAAATGATTGTTTTTCTGCTGAGAAACAGCAGAAACGACAAACGACAACTCACCTTTGGGTACTTGATTCGCTGCACATAGCCGTACAGATCATTTGATCCGTCAAAACGACTCATGAAGTATGTGCTCACATTCTTCTCGTTGAAGGAGGCAAAAGCCAATCGTGTGGCTGTCGGGTTCCACCACAGAGCTGCCTTTGTTTGGAGTAATTCCTCTACATTGGGGCAAAAGGAGTCAAAAATCAGGTACTTGGGTGAAATTGACCTTTATTTATAGAGTGAGCTCGGTAAACCGCCCGCATCATTCAGCAAAAGCAGCATAAACTGAGTGCTAACTAAACGTTGCAAATATATCTTGATGATGATTTCTTTATTAAACACAATAATTGATAGGTATGGTATGGTCGTCTCAATGTGTAGTCTATCCAACATTGTGCCATCAGGCGACAAACAGGCAATTCCGCAGTTTAGGGTGCAACATACTGCCCGACGAGGTTGGACAGATCAAAGAAATTTCCCTCTTCAAAGTGAAACCTCATTATACTCGGGGTTATTAAGCTCTACAGATTAAGAATCTTTCGAATGATATTTCATAGATTTACTTCAGTTCACTCACTTCGGAAATTCGCGGCGAAAATGGAATACTCACGTAAGTGTTTGTCTTTAAACAAAAAAGAAGAATGTCAGGATAGGCAGCGAGCGTAATGAGGTTTCTGTGGCCTTGAAAACTTGCACTTTAGCGCAGCATTTATGACTAATGTATTTTGTGTCCATTTAGATGGAGGGAAGAATTCGCGAGTTGGAATGGTACCAGGGTAAAGACACAAAATAGAGTTTAATTCAATTTGCATAGAATTTGAGTGGATGCGTACACGTCAACTAGTTACGACGTCACTCAGTACCACGTTACTCAGTATCTGTTACCATCGATTCAACTGTTCTAAAGTTACTCAAATAGACTAAAATAGACCTATTTGTCTCAGTTTTCTGCAAAGGGTTTTCATACAGGTGTGATAGGTTTCGGTTCAACCACTTTTGAAGCCCTGGGAAAATACGTACATGAAAAAAGCACGGTAGTTTTCGATGACAAACATATTGGTAAAAGTCCTGGGATTCTTGACTAAAAAGTTCATCTTAATCACTGAAAATAGTGATCATTATTTGTGAATAAAGAACGACTTGCAATTTGTCTGCTGCGTTGCACTAAGAGAATAACAACTTGAAATAGCATGAGAATAGGGAGCGTTATGCGAAACGGACAATTTGTGTGAGTAGCTAGTGCTGATCGTCAAGACAGTATTCCCATTTATACCTGTTCAACGCCGAGGTGAGTGGAGGAGAAGAGGCAAACGAACCAAAGCCGCCTTTCAATAGACAGTGACGAAACGACTGCCTTCGTAATGAATAAAACACATTTATCAAAATGTCATCCTGGCAACGAGGTTTTGACCTATTGATATTTACTAATCTCAGAGAGACACATAGGTAATCCACGATGGTTGAATCTATCCAGTCACTACATATTTTACTATAAGTTATTTCACTATAACTAACTGTTCTAAATGATGCTATCTACCGAACTAATATGTTGTAATACTAATGATGCAAATATTATTCCAATGGTTTATTTAAACAGAAAGAAACATATTTATGGATCGCGGTGTTGATACATGCTGATATCTTTGCAAAAATAAGTGCATGAAATTGGGCATAACATGATCACGGGGGTTTGTTGGCATTGATGGTGAAGTGCCATGTTACACCATTATTCGCGTCTCCAGATTTTCAAGATACGCATCCTTATTGAAAAGCGAGTTTTATGTCTTTTGGCTTAGTGACATCTAACCAAATGGGAGCAAGGGCCAAGGTTAGTGACTTCACGGTGATGGAATTCACACCTGCTG